CCACCTCATGCTCATGCCGAATGTTCTTACAGAGACTCACAGCAAATGAAAAGGCAGCAGCCAGCAATTATCGACTAAAGCGCCACGATTAAACGAGTGAGCCCTGTATTTCAAAGACAGCAGAATCAAGAATTACAAAAACACTCAGTATAAATTCATTCTGTTCAAAGATTAGGTGTACTGTGTTGTACCAGTCAGTAATGAGCTTACCTAAGAGAGGGAAACTGATTGAAGGGTGGAAAGTTCAGAACCCGAAGCGTACAGAGGCGAGGGAGAAGACGCAAAACCCTATGATCAGAACCTTTAGCGAATCTAACCGGGTTTGATCCGTATGTAGAGTGGAGCCGTCACAAACCTGAACCGGGTTTGGCCCTATTACAAATATGTCTATTTTAGGAAAATATCTAGAGAAAATTTCAATTTTTATGTTTGGAGAAAGCTGGTGAGAAGGCTGGTAGGAAGTTGTCCCTTCGTGGACATCCGATAAACTTGAAACGATACAGAGAGGATTAGCATGGCTCCTGTGCAAGGATGACAAGCATAAATCGAGAAATGGTTCAAATTTTTCCCCCTCCGACTCTGGACCCTTATTCGGATGGACTAGTTGGAGTACTCATCCTTCAGATTTGGACAGTCGCCACCACATGATCCTGACTAGACTGGATATTACAAGCTTTACGTCTGAGCCATGGATAGGCAGCTTTCTCATATGTCTTTGCCTTTAGCTTCATATTGGTCATTTTTCGACTCTGTAAGAATATTTATCCGATTTAATCATATATCGGTACAACGGAATGATCGAGATTACATACCTCCAGCCATTGCTTGTGAATGTTTGAGTTATTTGAAGAACTTGTAGAACACAACAGTGAATGCTTTGACACTTTCACTTTTATTTGGTCAAGATCTTCTAGGCTCTTTCACTTTCTCTATAGATGGTGTAAGATTTAGTAGTTGTAAAGTGATGAGCCTAGGGACCTTTTATAACCTATGGTACCCTTTGGCAGAAAGGTACTTTTTCATATATGGTACCTTTTGGTATAAAGGTACCTTTTGATATATGGTACCTATTGGAATATGGTACCTTTTGATAGAAATGTACAAAGTCTACTTATTAATTCTGTCCATCATAGAATTAATAAGTGATTAATAGTATTTGTACACTTTATAAATAGGAACATGTGGACCACATTAAAATTATCTTGTTTATACATAATACAAGATAATAGAGAAAATAAAATACTAACATTCTCCCACTTGGTCCATATGTTACTATATCAAAATAATAGAATACAAAGAACACGAATCATAGCGATATGTCCTCTAAAATTGAGTAGTATCTTCCATGTATTACAATGCACTTTGATCCATCAAACTGCCTTTTAACTTAATAAATAAACCCAATGTTTATTCTAGGTCCATACATAAATAATAATTCTCAAGATAAATGTGCACAAATTAAGTGAGAAAATATCAATAAAATTTATAATGTAACAAGTAACAACAAATGTACGTACAACCAAATGTTACATACTAGAACCGAGTCCCATTCGTACTACATGATCCTTAAAATTCTTAGGTGGCATGCCCTTAGTCAAAGGATCGGCAATCATTAATTCAGTGCTAATGTGCTCAATGACCACTTTTTCTTCTTTCACACGTTCCCTCACGGCTAAGTACTTGATGTCGATGTGTTTACTTCGACTTCCACTTTTATTATTCTTTGCCATGAATACCGCGGCTGAATTATCACAATATAGTCTCAATGGCTTAGATATAGAATCAACAATTCTAAGCCCAGATATGAAACTCTTTAACCATACACCATGACTAGTAGCTTCAAAACACGATACGAACTCCGCTTCCATTGTTGAAGTAGCGGTCAAGGTTTGTTTGGCACTTCTCCAAGATATAGCTCCGCTGGCCAACATGAAAATATATCCAGATGTGGATTTTCGTGAATCAATGCAGCCAACAAAGTCAGAATCTGAGTAACCAGTCACCTCCAAATTTTCAGTTCGTCTATACATGAGCATATAATCTTTGTCCCTTGAAGGTACCTCAGCACCTTCTTTGCAGCTCTCCAATGGTCAATACCTGGATTACTCTGATATCTTCCTAACATCCCAACAACAAATGCAATGTCTGGTCTGGTACAGACCTGAGCATACATAATGCTTCCAACAGCTGAAGCATATGGAATGGATTTCATTTGTTCACGTTCGAGCTCATTCTTCGGATATTGATTCAAATTGAATCTATCACCCTTTACAATTGGGGCTACGCTTGGTGAACAATCTTTCATATGAAATCTCTCTAAAACTTTATTAATATAGGCTTCTTGAGACAAACCTAAAATGCCTCGAGATCTGTCCCTATCAATCTTAATGCCAATGACATAAGACGCATCACTCATATCTTTCATATCAAAGCTTTTGGAGAGAAATTGTTTCACCTCATATAACATACTCTTATCATTAGTTGCAAGTAGTATATCATCAACATATAGAACTAGAAAACATATCTTGCTCCCACTAACCTTCTGGTATATACATTGATCCATGATGTTTTCTTCAAAACCAAATGAAGTGATAACTTCATGGAACTTAAAATACCACTGTCGGGAGGCTTGTTTCAGCCCATATATTGATTTATTAAGCTTGCAAACTAAATGCTCACCCTTACTAGAGGAAAATCCTTCAGGTTGTTTCATATAAACATCCTCTAGTAAATCACCATTAAGAAATGCCGTCTTCACATTCATTTGATGTAACTCAAAATCAAAATGAGCTACTAATGTCATAATAACTCGAAGAGAATCTTTCTTAGATACTGGAGAAAAAGTCTCCATGTAATCAATTCCTTCTCTTTGAGTGAATCCTTTTGCAACAATTCTTGATTTATATCTTTCAATGTTGCCTTGTGAATCTTTCTTGGTTTTGAAAACCCATTTACAACCAATAGGTTTCACACCTTTAGGCAACTCAATAAGATTCCAGACTTTGTTTGATGCCATAGAATCCATCTCTTCTTTCATGGCATTATACCATAAGTTTGATTGCTTCGAACTTATAGCTTGTGAAAACGTCTCAGGATCATTTTCAGCTCAATATTGTAGTCACTCTCTTGCAAATACACAAAATAATCACTAGGAATTGCTGAC